AAACATATCTTTTAAGAATACAACAGTCCACTCATAGCCAATTTTCCTTCTATGTTTCTTGTTACTGCCCACACTATGTGTATGCTTTAAAAACAGCTGTAGTACTCAAACACCTGTATGATATTTTCACTCAATATTTCAATTATCACAATAGTGATAAAATATAGTGTCAGAAATAATTGAACATGATAAAAAGAAATGCAAAGTAAAAGTGATGAATACAAGGCTGAAAAGTACTGAATTTCAAACTCCATATCAACTTCACATTTCCTTTTGAACCATATTTCATGTTTTACCCACATCAAGCAAATGCAAGTTTGAGTGAAAATACTTACAAACTTACCTGAAATATAGTTAACTGTTAGTGCTTTATCTCATAGATTTAATACAAAGCTCTATAATGGACTATATATATATATATATATATATATGTATATATATTATGCTTATCCATTTCAGGAAACAAACCAAAAATTTTACATTACAAACACTCAAGCTTACCATTAAGATGCTGATGATATATTTACGAAGTATATATGTATGATAAAAAAACAATTAACAATACAACATTATTCAGTGATTATCCAAGTGGCAGTGGATCAAATCAGTTTGCTGTTTCACAACAATAAAAATCACAGAATAAGCATATATGTTTAATTAAGCCTAAGAGAAACATTTGTAAACAGTGTACCTTAAGAGTGATAGGATATTACTACTTTGTTTCATTGTGGCTAACTCAGCAGTGTATATATTCAAGGATATTTTGGTAAACATAAATTCCATCATTCCAGGCTCTAAAAAACCACAATCAACGATAAGCAAGGCTCTAAACACCACAATCAAAAATTAGCAAGTCTCAGAACACTTTAACACAAATGAGCAAGGCTGTAATTACACCATATTTAAAGATAAATAAAGCTCTAATCACCAACATTAAATATAAGCAAGGCTATAAACATCTCCATAAAACATAAAGGCTCCAAACATCACCAAACATATGCAAGGCTCTAAAACCCATAAATAAAGATAAACACTTATTATGGGCATAATGTTGCGAGATATCTCTAAACCAAATAAAGAAATCACAATAAGCAATTGATTAGAACAGAAATTACAAATGCTAAGTACATATGAACAAATTTTAATTTATTCTATTGATCCAACTCCTTGAACATTAAATGCACACATATAAAAATTTTTAAATAAAAAAATTAGGAAGTAGGAATGGGAGCACCAAAAGTAAGGAAATAAGGTAGGAATGGACGAGTAACATAAGAACATTTGTTGGTTTTTGACATGGCTCAACCTCAAGGTGGGTGTGGCCATTGTTCCACCCATTCCTGTTTAGTGTGCTTTTTGTAACTTGGTAATTGTTCAAACTAAATTAAAAGTGTATATAGCTAAGTTTCTCTGTTGTGAACATTGTTTCAGCAACCATCTACAGATACGTGTATGTAATCAAATTACGTGACTCTAACAAAATGCATGACATCATAAGGGGGACATCTGATGTCAGAAGTGAGACATGAAGCTACAATAGTCATACTTTGCTTATGGGATACATTATAGCTATCTGACTGGTATGGGGTGGACCAAAAGAATAGCATCAAAACTGCAGATTTTTGACATTTTTAAATTTGTTGAGTATTTAGAAAGAATTAGCTTTTGAAAAACTCTATTCAAGTATATAATTGAATCAAAGTTCAAAGTAAAACATGAAGGGAATGGTCAGAATGATGGCCACACCCACTTTGAGGTTACACCGTGTCAAAAACTATCAAGTGTTGTAATGTTATACTGCCCATTCGTACCTCGTTTCCTTACATTTTGGTGATTCCATTTCTCTACTTCCTAATTTTTTTATTTAAAAATTTTTCCCACTTCTCTCATAGCTTTTCTTGGTGCTAAGTCTCGAGAGTGACTGGGCTCTAGGCTTATCCTTCTCGTAGCTTTTCTTAGAGCTATCTCTCAACATATCCTGGCTTTTTCTAATATTTTTGCTATAGTTTTTCTTCCATCTAGCCAGGGTGAAAGCATTTTCTTTGGTTGGATTAATGGCTAAGGCTTTTTTCACATATTCCGCATTACTGTTTCTAACTTTATCTCTATTCTTGTAGTAATGCTCTCTTCACTGGGACAAAGACTTTTTAAGGTTATCAACATAAGGTTTTGTCTTTTTCTCTCCTTTTGTTCCCTCGAAAGGCATATTTTAAAAATTACATTGTTTCAAGTACAACCTTAGAAGTCAATAGGTCATACCTAGTTTGAAAACAATGCAAAGGCAAATTATACAACTTATCGTTTTTGTTTTCTGTCCAGAGCACTTGGGTAAAGCTGTGTCAGACTTCAGCAGTGGTAGCATTCATCCTCAAATAGGAGACTCGCATCTTAGGTGCAGACAGCTATCAGAGAATTGCTTTGTCCAACACAGAACTCTCGAGTCAAATGTGTAGAACTGAAAACTTCGCTTTCAAAGGTTAGATCATAGTTAGAAACTAGATCTAGAGAATTTACATAGTCCATATTTTTTATCCAGCTGATACAACTGCAGGCTGATCGCATAGTGCATGCACATGAGCAATCATACACCTGCACATGATATAAGGGCAGGTTGTTACTTGGCAACTCATAGACCTTGCTCATAATAATAGAATATGGCTACTAGTGTATTGGTAGCTCATTAGTAGTGTTGCAAAATGGTTATTGTTATCACTAAGGGTATAAGTAAAACTAAGAAAAATTTAAGGTACCATAATTCAATCATATGCATTTAGATTTGCATAAGCTGAAGGCAGGAGAGAACTACACCTTTCCAACAACATAAGGCAGTCAGATATTCACATTGACAAATTTATGGTTTTGTGAAATTTTTGTTTTACTCTACCAACTTCCTCAAGTGCTTTGGTGGCTTATTACTCTGCAGTTGGTTTGTTTACTACTCAACAGTGTGTGTGAAGTGCTTATTAAGTTTTGTTTACATGATGTTTGCAGTGCGTTTGAGTTTTTAATTTGTATTGCACATATTCCACATCTGGCCAATCCTACTGTACTTATGATAAATCTAGCACTAAAATCTTAAGAAATAACATTTTATTTTTTGCTAACTTCTTTACCAAATTTTGGTCTTTGATGTTTTCAGAAATAATTAGCATTTAGAGATGTTCTTATATCAAAAATATTTTCACCGACAACTACTATTGCAACATATCACACCTACAGTCACAACTTAGGCTTCATTCATTTTTTTGGAATGTCCACACATCTCAACAGCTATCCAGTGTGTACAAATGAACTTTCAGTGACTTGTGTAGTGAAGATGAATAAGTAATTTCATAAATAAAACATCTTATTTGCAAGGTTTATATTATGTAGTGAAGTACTTATGATTCTCTACCAAAAGGTCTAGGCTTAAAAGTAAAATAAACAAAAGGACAAAAACATTTTTATTCTCTAAATATACATACATATATAGCTAATAATTTCAAAAATAGTAAAATGGAAGATAATGTCTGTATGTTTAGGTGTTCATAACTAAATGCTAGAGCTTTCAAGAACATTGAGATACATAAACACTCTCAACTTGGATAGCCTAAAAGTTAGAATTAGTTTGTCAGCTACAGTGCAATTAATTTGGTTGAATCCTTTAGATTCAGAAGCACTTATGTATAATAAGAATTTTTTATATTTTATAAAGGGAAGTAGGGATTGATATATATGTAACCTAGCTAGCTATAGTAATACAGAAAGTTTTCAAGCTACAAGTAATTGAAACAAGTTGAGTTACTTAAGATTTAAATTTTTTTTTACCTGTACTGTAATTATGTTAGTCCAAGCCAAAGTAGGGATAATTTTTTTTCAATTTTAAGTAAGTCAGTTTTTGAAGTTTGACGTTCTTGTTTCAATACTTTTTGTATCATTTAAACTTCCTACATTACTATAGCTACCTATGTTATGTATATATATCGATCCCTACTTGTCTTTATAAAATTGAAAATTTTTTTATCATACTTGTATGTTCCTTTTTATTTGCTATATTTTAGTGTGCCGGCAATACCAAGTGTGCGGCACAGGTATACTCAATTCAATTTTATTACTGATCAGGATCTCTACCAACCTAATTGTAAATCTAATTATATGTCCAGAGTAGTCCATCATCCATTATGTATATATATAATAGCATCCTTTTTGGTACAAGAAAGGAATCATTGGAACCCCAAAGAATTAGAGTGATAAGGCATCATTTTTTCTGTATGCTTGTCTGGGAAAGTCACTTACTTACTTAGATATAAAATGTCGAAATAGTGAAATTTTGATTCACACCATAAACACATATATAGAAATTTAGGCAACTTTATAAATACAATAAGCCTTAGTTTTGCTCAGCCAATACTGTGAAATAGTCATTATTAATATTCCGACATTTTAAAGGTGGTTTTAAATATGTAATTTTTATGGCCACCATCTTGTTCCATCGCGATCCCTACTATTAAGGACTACCATACTTAATGATTAACCTGTAATTACTACATCAAACTCAATTAGTGTATCAACTGTTTAAAATTGACCTTTCTTTTCTCCTAAACTTAACTATTTGGTTAAGTTTTAGTTACATCCATACAAATATTTTACATGTATAATAGGAAAACATTCTGGAAATTCTTCATAGGCATATTAAACAAATATTTTACAGTTCTTAAATGTAAAAAGTTCTGATAGCATTACGGTTGTCATCAAATGTTTTTTCACTCAGTATAGGCTGAACATTTCTCTGCATTGTGTTAGCCAGAAATGAATCTGAAAAATGATTCAACATTAAATTCTGTCTTTATCCAAAACTCCTTCTAACAACCCCAAAATACAAGAAATGTTACTGTCAAATGCAACTGAAGATCCCAAAATCTAAACTCTTCTTTAAACAGGATTATTTTTAACATTCTGACAAACATCTGTAATGTTTTTAAGAAACCCAAGACAATAAAAAACAAACAAAAAAACCTTACCCTGCACTGCAATGAACCGGGATCCTCTTTGAAGGATAGATTTCTCTTGGCTCTTCATGACCTGGTGGGCCAAAACTATTAACAGAAGACAATTGGTTTAGGGGTTATATTATAGAGCTTTATTTTAACATGTTATAAAAATTCAGGAAAAAACTATGATAATAAGATAGCAGCTGTAGCATTTTGCAAATTAGATATTATATAGGCCTCAGGACTTTGTTTATAAAAAAAAGATTCAAGGCAGTGCAGGGTTTGTTGAGCCATTTTAAAATAATGTCTGCCAGGTGTTGTAAGGATATTACCTGTTTGAAAAAAACTCCTAAAAAACTTAGTTAATTTCTTCTATTGACAATTTCAGTGTTTTATTTTCACTAGTTCAGGATTTGTGGATAATTGAAATATAAATACATAAAAGTCAGTAAGCATCAGAAAACTGAAATAATACCATTACAACATTAATTTAATTACAGATTAATTACTCATCCTGAAATATGGATATAAGCAACACACAAACAAAAGAATAATGAACAAAAAAAAGGCAAGAAAACATCTACAAAAGTAAGTTTTGAACATAACTGATGCTATTTACCAACAGACAAAACAAAAACAACATTTTTTGTTTGGGCTTATCACGTAGTTAAAATCACTACTAGTAAAAACAAAGCACACAAAGAAAATACATAAATACTTAATTCATGAAGAAATGTATTACAGAGTAAGATGCTGAATAACTTTGAATAATGTTAAATTCCAGAAAATTAATAATTTATCAGTCCACAGGACTTTGCTCATGAGAATATTGTTTGTTGTACTATGAATTACATTTGAAAAATCAGGCAAAACTGAGATGAATCTAGAATGCACGAAAAATATACTGAAAAGAAATATAGTATTGGTGAAGTAATACAGCATCTCATTAACTGGAGAATGATCATTACTGCAACTTCATCTAATGTTGTGTGATGAAACATAAAATCACCTTTCATTTCTTAGACAATAATGCTGCGTATCTGCTGGTTTGTTAATTTCCCGTAGAAATCCTTTCCGAGAAACTTCAGCGATACAAGTCCTTTCTTAATTAAAACTAGTTTATTCTTTCTTGATACAACTTTGCAATACACGGAATTTCCATAGTCAATACGTTTGCAATCTCGATAACAAAACACACACTTTATATTACCGTCACTACCGCTCGCTTGACTCAATTATCTGTCTCTATATCTATCTATCTGCAATTATGTCTCCGCTTTATTTGCCGGGCTTATATACTAAAAATGAGGTGCCTGGAACAGACTAGACTTGCCAGGAAAAGTCATGATCCTTCTAGAAACTCCAGCGCGAATGCTTCCAGCGTCGCGTGACTTCCGCTGCCGTAACAATAATATTTTGGTAACTCATTCTTAGCTACCACTTGGATTT